GGGCACCTGGGTGGCTCAGTCAGTTAAGTGCCCAATTCTTGAATTTGCCTTATGTCATTGTGAGATCAATTCCTGCATTGGGCTCTGTGCTGAGTGTGGAACCCGCTTAAGATTCTCTCTCTCCCTCTCCCTGTATCCCTCTCCAACATGCACTCTCTCTTTCAATACATAAAATAAAATAAACAATAAAAAATACTTTCTAAATGTATTTAGATCGTTTTCTCCTTAAAAAAAAAAAAAAAAGAAACCAAAATCAGAAAGGAAGAAGAAAATTATCTGTGTTTGCAGGTAACAAGATCCTGTATATAGAAACTTCATTCAACTTCATATGAAGGGTACATAAAACATATTTGTTACACCCTATTTTAAGCTGGTAACAACTTCAATCACATACGAAAACTTCATAAAAATTCTTAGAACTCATAAGCAAGGCTTAGTCTGTGTGTGTCCTTAAAGCTAACCAGAATCTGTAGTAGGCAGCATACTGTTGGATCCTTTTCCTTTTAGTTTTAAAGAATTTTAATTCCTGTTTTTTAAATCCATTCAGCTACTCTGTCTTAACTGGATTATTTAATTAATTTACTTTAGAAATATAGATAGGTAAGGACTTATACTTGTCACTTTGGTGTTTTCTGTTTTGTAGTTTCTTTGTTCCTTTTTTCCTCTCTTGCTGTCTTCCCTTGTGATTTGTTGATTTTTTGTACTGGTATGCTTTGATTCTCTTCTTTCCATGTATTATGTATCTATTAGAGAAATTTCCTTTGTGATTACCATGAAGCGTACGTAAAACATATTTATGACAGTCTGTTTTAAGCTGGTAACAACTTAACTTCAACCACATACCAACACTACACTCACATCTCCTTTCCCACATTTTATGCTATTAATGCCACACCTCACATCTTTTGATATTGTGTATCCATCAACCAGTTATTGTTTTAGTTATTTTAATAATTTTATAATTTAACATTTATACTAGAGTGAAATGTGATTTATACACCATTACAGTATTAAAGTATTCTGAATTTGATTATATATTTACCTTTATCAGTGAGCTTAATACTTTCATACGTTTTCATTTTGTTACATAGTACTCTTTTTGTTTTGCCTTGTAGAAGTCCCTTTAGCATTCCTTGTAAGGCAGGTCTTGTGAAGTCTCTCAGCTTTTGTTTGAGAATGTCTTTATCTCTTCCTCGTTTCTGAAAGAGCCATCCAGGTGCCCCTAGCTGGTTAATTTCTAATGACCTGTTTTCAAGGCCTTTGTTTTTTTGTTTGTTTTTTTCTAATTCAATTTACACTTATTGTAAGGACGGCCAGCTATTTCATATTGATACTGACATTTTCATAAGTACTTGCTGTTAGAATTCAAGCTGAGATTCCAATAAATCTCTTACATGTTTAACACTTACTTTTCCTGTCCTCAGACTGTAAATATTTTAAAGAACATTTTTTGGATGTTATTCTGCCTTTGGGGAATTTATGCTGTATGTGTAACACAGCTGGGCAGAGGAAAAAAGATTACAATTTGGCAAAGCAAATGGAGGACAACTATAGAGTTGTGCTGGGTTCTGAAAAATAAGTGTGGAGTATGAAATTCAAAAGTTTAACATAGATAAATTCAGCATTGGTTTTTCACTTTATATAAAACTTCACTTCTAACTTCTTATGTATTTATTTTAATTTTTTAAATGTTTATTTGTTTTTGAGAATGAGAGGGACAGAGGGTGATAGGGGAGGGGCAGAGAAAGAGGGAAACACAGAATCCAAAGCAGGCTCCAGGTCTACACAGGACTCAAACTCACGAACCACGAGATAATGACCTGAGCTGAAGTTGGATGCCTAACTGACAGAGCCACCTGGGTGCCCCACTCATAACTTCTTTGAATAGCAACCTCCTGAGGGTATTTATTTATGTAATTGTATATAGTTGACATACATGTTACCTTAGTTTCATGTGTACAACATAGTGATTCAACAACTGTGTAGACATTATGCTGTGCTCACTACAAGGGTAGCTACCATCTGTCCCCATACAATGCTATTAAGATGCCATTGACTATATTTCCTACACTTTACCTTTCATTTCCATGAAAAGGTCATTGATTATTTTTGAATAATTAAGTCTCTTGTTGAAGCTATCTGTTGATTTTTTGGGGAGGGGGGTCAGTTGTATTCTTCAACTCAGATTTTCTGCTTGATTATTTTTTATGGTTTCTAATCCTTTCTGGACATTCTCATTTTGTTCATGTATTTTACTGCTTTTTCTTTGTAGTTGTCTATCTGTGTTCTCTTGTAGTTCATTGAGCTTTAAGAGTACTATTTTGAATTCTTTGTCAGGCAACTTATAGTTCTCCATTTCTTTAGGGTTGGTTATTGTAGACTTATTTTGTTTATTTGGTTGTGTTGTATTTCCCTGACTCTTCATGTTCCTTATAACTCTGCATTGGTATCTGTGCATCGGATGAAGCATTCACCTCTTCCTCTTTACAGATTGCTTTGGCAGAAAAAGACATTCACTGGTCAGCCCAGCTGGAGACCCTGGGGGCTTGTCAAATGTTTTCTGTAGATGTGCACTTCCCAGTTCTCTCCCTCCCTTCTAGGGAAGAGATTGCAGGGTGGTACACCTTCTTTCCATTTCACAGAGCCATTTTGGTTACTGTAAGCCTGCTTTCCATTTCCTTAAGAGGAGTACACTGATAGGGCAGCAGACTGGAAACACACCCCAGGCCTCTCCCTGTCTTCCAGGGGAGAAATCTCAGAGTTGTGGGCCTTCTTCCAATTTCACAGTGCTATGCAGGTCCCCGCAAACTGCCTGCCACATTTTCCTAGGTCGCAGTACTGAAATGTGAAGTTGTTGAGTTTAAGCTCCGTTTCTCTCCCTCCCTTCTGAAGGAGAAGAGTCTGGATTGTGTCTCTCTCTCTATCCCATACAGCCATGCCAGCTGTTGAGAGCTGCCTGTTCCTCTTCCTTAGGACAATATACTAAAAAGCCAGGATGTTCTGGAAAGGCACTGGGTGCAAGCTCTACTTCACTCCTTTCCTCTAACTCTGACAATTGGGTAACTTCTCTCAGTCCCATAGAACCATGCAGGCAGTGGAGAGCTCCTGCCCTTTTCTTTGTTCTAAGTTGCCCCCCTTGCATTCTAACTAGGCTGGTGCCTCATCACTCTTGAGTGAGATGAGATAGAAGTAGGTCTTTGGGTAGTATCCTGAAAGGTGAGGCTAATATCAGATGGTTGCTTCACTCATATTTTGCTCCTGAGGGAAAAGTCATGGGCTGAGCAAATTTTTTCTCTAGATGCTAAGCTGTTCCAATTAGAGGGAAATAGCAGCAAAGTGAAATAGCATTGTTTGGTGTAGATGAGGGGCGGGACTTCCTATTCCACTATCTTGTGGAGTTCAGTTCAGATTTTTTTTTTTAACTACAAATTCAATTTCTTTAGAAGTTACAGTACAATTCAGGTCATCTATTTCACCTTAGATGGATTTTAGGAGTTTGTGGATTTTTTTTTAGAAATTGGTCCATTTCATCTAATTCGTTGAAATTATGCATGGAGAGTACTAACAGTGTTGATTTTTAGTTTATCTGTATATCTATCAAATATTTAAAAGATTTCTTAAATCTTTAGGTTTTGTTTATTTTTCAGTGAATACCTTCATTGGCCTAATTGATTCTTTTTTTTAATATTTTAAAATTTTTTCTAAGGTTTATTTATTTTTGAGAGACAGAGTATGAGTGGGGAGGAGCCACTTATGTCTGCAACATAAGGCAGATACATAGACTTTGCCCAGTGTTTGCATAGAACAATAATCTGGAAACCATGGCTTGTGGGTGCTACTTCTTTTTGAAAATAAAGTTTTATTGGAACACAGCCATGTCCATCCATTTATGTATTGTCTGTGACTGCTTTCACACTACATGGCAGAGTTGAGCAGTTAAGACAGAGACTGTAGGGCCCATAAAGCCCTGAATAGTTATTACCTGGTCTTTTGAAGAGAAGTTAGCCAACCATTGCTGTGAAGAGTGAAGCCTTATTTTTTTTTTATTTTTTTTTTTTGGCGAAAACTGAGAAAAAAAGCCTAGTGAGGCATATTTTATTTTCAGCATGAAACTAATTTTTAATCATTTTGAAAACTATCAACCATTTACCTAGGACTTTAGAAAATTAGGATGAAGTCTATGTACACTAAGCAATACCAAGAGCATTGTTTTGTTATTCAAAAAATATAAAAAAACAATCTATAATCACTTCAGGGAAAATCAGCAAACTTTCTAGTATAGACTATTGAGAAGTGGGAAAAGATTGCCTCATTTATAGGATTATAAATGATCTAATAATTAAGTTAGTTCAGTCTTCTAGTATATATCTGTCATCATTTAAAGTCCATCTTTGTGAATTATATATTGTTACAAGTACATAATGCATAATTGCCATCATGTTACTATGTTCAGTCCAGTGTCAATTATCTAAAGCTTTTAAATGTACCATTAAAGTTACAATCGGGGTGAATTAAGTAAAAACGGAGTTTCCTTTTTCGGCCCCTTTGTTTGTGACCCAACCCCTACTCATGCTAATGGTTTCTTCTAGCTTATGAAAATTCTGTAGATTCTAGATCTCTATATAAGGTGGTTTCCTTCTGCTTGGATCACATCATTGCTCACAGATGGTGCAGCTGTGATATAATGGAAAACCACACGTTGTTTTCACTAAGAAGCTACCATGATCATCCCTGAAATCCATTGTACACTTGGCCAAACTGATGCCTGACTATGTTCCTAAACTTTTACCTAAGACTTTGTTCAACATCCATTTGTCTATTAGTGGTCACCTAGAGGAATAAATTTTTCCTGAATGGTACTAGCTCATATACTTTCTGTGTTAGAGAGGTAAAACTGGCCTCTGTCATACAATTTACAATATTTTTTGGAAGATGGATATGATTTTTAATTACAGTACTGCACATCTTTGTAAATTTCTAGTGTTATAAAAATGCGAAACTTAATTACTTGCAAATTTAATGATACTTTTCCAAATTTGAAAGTTACTTAAGTTATGCCTTGGGTAAGAATGACCAGGAAGCTCTATTCTTTGGGTCTTCAGCTTAATAAACAAAATTTCCTTGGCTTTTCCATGCTCCTCTGGATATTTTGTATCTCAGTATGAAGTCGTTTGCTCTCGTTTTGGAATCCTTCCTTTAATAGACGAGCCTGTTCCTAAAAAGGGACAATTGGAGATTGAATAAAGTATAGCACTAAAGTAAATCTCTAATTTATATCTAGTTTCCACATTCATAGATTTTTTTTTTAGTATTAAATTTCTTCTTGATATTTTTAGTACCCTTAATTTTCCTTATACATTCTCTTGGGCATCCTAGCTCTGTGATTACATTTCTACTAAGTGGTGAAGACAGTTCAGATATCTTACCAAGCTGTGTGACCCTATAAAAGTTATTTAATCTTTTCTGAACTTTTGTTTCTTGTCCTAAGTAACAGAGACACAGCAGTTCTTGCTTCATATAGTATTAAGCAAAAGATCCATGTAAGAGATTTTTCAGAATGTCCACCAGGGAACGGCCACCACAGATGAAAGGATGTACAGATAAAGGACTGGGTGTGACCTAACCACAAATAGAATCTTATAATAACCAGATAGAGGCAGGGGCCAGGTCAGTCAGGCAGACAGAAATTGAACACTACAAGTGGCAAGCAAGGTCCTTTCTGCAGGCCTCATGTTCTCACCACCACACTACGATACGATCAGGGAGAATGGAGAGAAGAGAAAAACAGAAACCTTACGGTAATGCAATTAAATACCTGAAGTTTCAAAGCTAGAATTTTCTCTTGTTCTTCCAGCCACTGGACTCTATCCCTCTCCATCTTCTCAGTTAACTGTTTCACATGTTCCTGATGACTCTTTTCTTTCTGTTCCATCATCTGCTGATTCTTTATTTGCATTTCCTCCAATAATTTTGTTGCAGCCTGTGCAGATTCAGCTTTCACACGTTCCACTGAGAGGAGGAAGACAAATGTATGCGAGTAAGCATGTTGTCCCTCTCTTCCTTGCATGCTTAGCTGTCATTGTTGCTGCTGACTACATATGCCCTACTCAGAAATGACTTCAGCAAGTAAGGGGCATCTTTGGTCTCCTTGTCCTAGTTTAAGGATCCCAGGCTTACTGGGCCAAATTATTTAAGCTTTAAGAACTCTTGAGGCTATCTAGTCTCTTGACTGGCTCCTCACCTTCAATCTCCTTTTCCTTTTCCGTGAGAGTCTGGTCTGTCTGTAGAATCGCATCAGTCATAGACTCCTTGGTCTTCAAGTATGCCTGAAGAACCTCTTCAGCCTTAGGACCCAGAGAACATGGAGTTGGTAATAGAATATGGATATAAGCGCTCGTTCCTGATTGACTTCCCACCATCTTTTCTCTAGGAATTGCTCCTCTTGGCCCTAGTGTATCTGGTGGTACACCTTGCCACAGGCATGGGCACATGCTGCAGGTTGGCCAATCATGGCACCTTACTAAGCAGAATCCTTTATAAGACACTGAGATAGACACTGGGAAAAAGAGATTCTATGTTCTTTTAGAATGAGGGCTCTAATTTTGGACCTGTTGGTGCTCTGGTACCCTATGGGGTGAGTTTCTAAAAAAGGAACCCATTATGGAGAAAGCAGATCAGAGAAAAGGTGGAGAGAGAATAGGAAAGAAGGAAGTGTAGGGTTGAGGGGAGTAACAGACAGCAGATGATGACATTATTTGAAATCTTGGATCCAGCAGCCCTTAAAGCCAGTTTAAAGCCTAAACTGATGAATTCCCATTTTTGTTTAAGAAAATGAGTTTCTGTTCCTTGCTGCATAAAGATCTAGCTACAAGAGTGAATTGCAATACAACTTGGTTGTTAATCCGAAAATCCAATTAATAACTCGATTCTCAACTGAGTGCCCTCTTGGATAAGCACATAGGACCTATCTGGTATAACTGGCTCCCTGTACAAGTTTTACTGAAAGAAAGCATGAATGCTGTGTTCTCGCAATGTGTGCAATTACACTTTGGTCTTTGAAGGAGGCATGTCGGCAGCTTTCCAGAATCAGCACATAAATCTTAGTTACCTGTATCCCCTTATTAGGTATCTGAAGGTATTTTCTCTTCAGCTCTTGTGTTTCCTGGATGAAAAGACGGTACCCTCCTGGTTTAGAATAAACCCCCTGCTTCACAGCATCTTCAAGAGGAGTGAAAATTTCCTTAAGTAAATCTGAGCAACGATCTGTTGATGCTTGCACATTCCGTTTACAAAAGTCATCTCGTTTTTTTTCCAGCTGGGCCTTTGATGTAAAAATAGAGAGTAAAAAGAATATCAGGGAAAAGATGTTAGCATGACCTTGGAATATCTGAAGGAGCTCTCAAAAAGAAGTCTATGACCCTAGAAAAACTCATAGACACCTCAATAGGACCATCCTTCCTCCTGCTCCTGACTTTTACTGAAGTCCCTTTCTCCTTAGAGGTGAAGTTCAGAGCAGAGATTGCTAGCTTTCTTGCTACACCTTTAGAGATAAACTTCTGCTTTTCAAAGTGGACCAGTGATTGCATATGGAATAAATGTGGCTCAACAGAAGCCTGCGTATGATAATCAGGACAACATCCTGATCGATTAGGATATCACATCAGTCTAGTTAACAGTGGGCATTTGATTAGAAGCTCTGATTGTGACTTATGTGAATTTAGTTGAATTATGAGGAAGATTATTATACATGAGAAAAAGATTTCAAAATTCTGAGTTCATCATAATAAAATATGTTCTTTTTATGATAATAACAAATAGTGGTTGTCACCATTTTAAAGTCTAGAAGGAATTGCTTCTCTCAAAATAAATACCCATTTCATTTTCTGGTAGTACTCTGCTTTCTAAGACCCTAATCCATATGAACTTGAGAAAAAATTACCGCTAAGTCTTTTTGACATAAATGGTCTACATCTTTGAAGGAATTCTTCATGAAGAGCTCAATGGCCTCTTTCTCACAGGCCCTGTGCAGGTTCAGAAGCTCCTGGAGGGTTTCCGTGGGCAGCTGCACCATCTGGCTCATCTTCTGGTCATAGTGGGCAATGGCCTTTTGCACTGCGGCTGCATTCTCGATCTGGGCCAAGACCAGGACTGCATTCTCCATGCAGGGCAGATCTCCACGGCTGATGGCATCGACATAGGTCTCCACCAGTTTCTCTAGACCTACAAACAGAGAACAAATAATGTTGCCTGTTGTCGGTGGGATTAGAAACATTCCATTTTATGTAATTCTGATAATGTCTACTCCTACCCATTTGCCTCAAAGCATCAATGTCCTCAGCATCACCTAGAGAGTTGCTAGAAATGTAGATTCTCAGCCTCTGCCCCAGAACAACTGAATTAGACCGTCCTCGCTGGCAAGATGTCCAGGTGATATGTTTACACATCAAAGGTCGAGAATCTCTGTTCTAGATAGCATAGGCCTATGTATATTGAGTGTTTTCATCCACTTTACCCCCAACTTCTATTAGGACAGGAACCATACCTCTCTCATTTATGTCTCTATCATCAGCCCTCATCTGTGGTAAGCATTTGACCAATGTGGAAAAAAATCAAAAGGTGTACTCGATTTTGTTTATTCTAGTATAGTGTTGTCCAAGACAACTTTCTGTGATGAAGGAAATATTCTATGTCAATCAGCTACTGGCCCCTTGTATGTATAGGCTTTTGAAATATATATGGGTAATTGGAATTTTAAATTTTCTTAAAATTTTTTTAATGTTTATTTAATTTTAAGGGAGAGAGAGAGACAGAGCACAAGTTGGGGGGGGAGCAGAGAGAGAGGGAGATACAGAATCTGAAGCAGGCTCCAGGTTCTGAGTTGTCAGCACAGAGCCCAATGGGGAGTTAGAACCCACGAACTGTAAGATCATGACCCGAGCTAAAGTTGGATGCTTAACCCACTGAGCCACCGAGGTGCCTCAGAATTTTAAATTTTCTTTACCTTTAATTAGCTTACACTTAAATTTAGATAGCCACACTTGTGTAAGTGGTTACCACATTGAACAATGCAGATTCTAATAGGGCAGTTTTAAGAAACAGAGGGTTTTTTTCCTTACACCTTTCCTATCTTTTCTCACCCGAGAAATTTGGCTAGTAAAATCTATTAGAAATGTTGGTGCTGTCTAGAATGTAACACAGGAAGAGCAGTAGATTCTCATTTTTTAAAGCTGAAACTAGGTGGATGTAACTCTACCCTCCTTTAGTCTTTTTCTTTTTAATGTTTTTTTTATTTGTGAGAGAGAGAAAGAGACAGTGTGAGCAGGCGAGGGTCAGAGAGAGAGGTTAGACACAAAATCTGAAGCAGGCTCCACGCTCTGAGCTAGCTGTCAGCACAGAGCCTGACGTGAGGCTGGAACCCACGAACTGTGAGATCATGACCTGAGCTGAAGTCAGACGCTTAACCTGCTGAGCCACCCAGGCACCCCTGCCCTCCTTTGGTCTTAACAATGGAAGAAAAAGACTGTGAAGAGGACTCACGAGGTCCATTGACTTTGATGCCTCCTGAAAGAGTTTTAGTTTTGGACTTGCTAAAGATGTAGGAACAGAAGACTGTAGCTTGTTGCACAAATTCAGGATCCAGCTCATTATCATGCAGTGTCTCAAGCTGGCCTAGCTTCTTCCGATGAGTGGGTCGGTCAAAGATGAAGCATTTCTTCTTCGGGAAGAACTTCCGGATACAGAGTCGGGGCAGATTAAAATTTTGATCATTTTGAGTGGTACCTGCAGGAAGATAAGAAAGGAATTTCCTGAATAGAAATACTTGTAACCTTTTTCTGTAAAGGACCAAATAGTAAATATTTTATGCTTTGCAAATGAGGTGGTCTCTTTTCCAAGTACTCAGTTCTGCTCTTGCAGCAAGAAAGGAGCCATAGACAATCTATAAATGAATGGGCATAGCATTATTCCAATAAAACCTTCTCTACAAAGACAGCGGGTGGGCTGGGTTGGCCGTCATTGGCCTGTGAGCCATCATTTGCCAATCCCCGGACTAGAGCACTGCTCATGCTTTTATCTATTTTCTTCCAATCAGTGCCTATTCTACACCATATTCTTTGGCTTAATCACAAGCCCTATGCAGGCAGATAAAGTCACAGGGATAATAGCACAGGGAAAGATGAAAGAGAAAGAAACTATTCTTAGAAGAGAGGAGAATATAATTTAAAATCCAATCTACTAATTCATATATTAAACAAGCATTAATTCTTACTGAAAGCCAGCTAAGAAAAAACAGAAAACTATAAATATAAGAGAACTGTACACGGCACACTGAAAAAAAGTGATAGTCTCTTACGTTTATAATCTCCATTTATTTCTAAGTCCCTTTTTACCTTGTTTAAGCTTGAGTGAGTTCTCCAGGTACTCATCAGCTGTGATGGGTCGTCCATCTGCTTCCAGTTCTAAGGAGAAATCCCTCAGTGTCCACACAAAATCTGGAAAGAAGCTCACAAAGTCCGCTGAATCTTCAACCCCATTGGAATTGGGGGAGGACTTTGCCCTGATCCGATCTGACAGCTCTGTCACATAGCTGAGTAGCAAACTAAGGAAAACTGGCATCAAAGAACAGCGTCCCTGATCCCATACTAGTTCCACATACTTAAAACCTTCACTTCACCTTTGATTTAAATCCAAGTGTCAATTTTTCAGTGGGTACATAGAATCTTTTCCCTGCCCTTGAATTATTTTTTACATTTTCTCTTTTTGTGCTGGATTCACCAGGGTCCACAACCAAGCAGTTGATTTTTAAATGCAATTCTTCCCTCTTACTTTGAGGCCATTTTGAACTACAAAAAGGATACTGCAGTTGGTCCATGGCCTGCTGGTTGATGGTTCCCATGCTATTGTACACAAACGTGCTGCTCAGGAGTATTGCAAGGGCAAAGATCCAGGAATCGTTCTGGTTGTCACCCTGCAAATCAGAACATGTTCAAGCTGTTGGGTTTCATTCTCCTGACACTTTCCAGATCAGCAGCAGTAAAAAGATGCTTAATTAATTAGAGGGCTTTTATGTAAAGATTAATAAGCATTATGAGAAAACCAAATCTAAATTAAAATGTTAGTGGGACTTGGCTTTTGGATCATTTTATGATTAGTATTTTTAGTTTATACCGATTCTCACTAGGTCTTCTTATGATCATTGGCAGATAATTACAAAACCAATGGTCAAGGTTGGTGGGCTTCTAAAGCCTTAATAGAATTTAAATTTAGAACATTCAGGGCACCTGAGTGGCTCAGTCAGTTGAGTGTCTGATTCAGCATAGATGATCTCACGACTTGTGATTTCGAGCCCCGTGAGTTCGAGCCCTGGGCTTGTGCTGACAGTTTAGAGCCTGGAGCCTACTTCGGATTCTGTGTCTCCCTCTCTCACTGCCCCTCCTCTACTTGTGCTCTGTCTCACTGTCTCTCTCAAAATTAAATAAACATTTTAGAAAATAATAATAAATTTAGACCTTTCCTTTTTATAGCAAAATTGACTTATATGAGAGTAACACATATACTGTGTTAGCTACTTTACTGAGCAATTATTATGCACCTAACATTTTCCATTACTTATCTTATTCAAAATGACACTATGAGTCAAATATAGATCTATTACATCTATTTTACACGTTCAGAAAGATGAAGTTAAAAGAGGTCAAATAATTTGCTAAGGCCACTGAGATAGTGACAGGGTTTATATTTAAATACAAGGGTGGGGTGCCTGGGTGGCTCAGTCGGTTAAGCTTCCCACTTCGGCTCAGGTCATGATCTCATGGTTTGTGAGTTCAAGCCATGCATCAGGCTCTGTGCTGACAGCTAGCTCAGAGCCTGGAGCCTGTTTCAAATTCTGTGTCTCCCTCTCTCTCTCTGACCCTTCCATGCTCATGATGTCTCTCTCTCAGAAATAAATAAAACATTAATAAAAATACGAGGGTAATAGACCTGCAGAATCTAAATCCTTAACTAAAATTCTCTGCAGGATTGAACTCATGACATTGATTTTAAGCTTCTGGGTTAACTGGTTTAGCATACAGCCTTAAAAAATTTTTTTTAATGTTTATTAATTTTTAGAGAGACGGAGTGTGAGTGGGGGAAGGACAGAGAGAGAGGGAGACACAGAATTTGAAGCAGGCTTCAGGCTCTGAGCTGTCAGCACACAGCCCAATGCGGGGCTCGAACTCATGAACTGTGGGATCATGACCTGAGCTGAAGTCTCAGACACTTAACTGACTGAGCCCTGCATACAGCCTATTGTTAATCATTAGAATATTACTAATTATTAATGATTACTATGATCTTCTTCTAGAATTCTGCCTTGTAAACATTTTCCTGATTACTGGTTGCTAACCTTGGTCTTAGGGCACATAAACAGAAATTTAAGAGAACATATTGTGATTAAATGTAAGCTCCTATTTAAAGAAAAATTAAATTGTGTAGAGAATATTCAGGGATAAGGGCCTTATTTCAAAACTGAATCCTCAATCCTTACCTTCTCTACATCTCCCAGGCCCTCAGTGTCAAGAAGAACTAGGGTGTGGTCTGGCTTCTTGGGATGAGGCACACACCACATCCAGATTCCTTTGGTGTGAGATTGTACCGTGGAGCCCAGAGAGAAGCCTATGAGGGGGAGTAGGGAGAAGAGGGGGTGGAGTTTTAATAGCAGATGGATCTAGAAATCCTACAATGCAACACAAAAAACCAACCTGATTAAAACAAGAACAAAGGACTTGAATAGACATTTCTCCAAAGCAAATACATAAATGACCAATAAACAAATGAAAAGATGCTCAACATCACTAGTCATTAGGGAAAAACAAATCAAAACCACAATGAGATCCTACTTCACACTCATTGGGATGGCCACTATCAAAAAACCAGAAAACAGTAAGTGTTGGGGAGGATGTGAGGATATTAGAAACCTTATATGTTTCTGGTGCGAATGGAAAATGATACAGTTGCTGTGGAAAACAATATGATGGTTTCTTTAAAAAATTAAAATAGAATTCCTATATGATTTGGAGGCATATAATCCCCACCCCACCCCCAAGTAAAAGTAGGGATTTGAACATATATTTGTGCCCTCGTGTTTTTAGCAAATTATCCATAATAGCCAAAAGGTGGAGGCAACCCAAGAGTCCTTCAACACATGAAGGGATAAACAAATCAGTGTGCACATAGTAGTTATTCAGCCTTAAAAAGGGACAGAATTCTGACACATGGTACAACACTGAAGACATTATGCCAAGTGAAATGAGCAAATCACAAAAGGACAAAAAAGGTCTGATTCCTCTTAAATGAGGTTTCTAGAACAGTCAAGTTCATAGAGATAGAATATAGAATGGTGGTTGCCGTGGGCTGGGGAGTTATTGTTTAATGGGTACAGAGTTTCTGTTGAGGAAATTGAAAAAATTATGGAGATGGATAATAGTGATGGCTGCATAACAGTGTGAATTTACTTAATGCCACGGAACTATATGTAGGCTTAAAAATGATTCCAATGGTAAATTTTATGTTATGTATATTTTACAACAGTGAAAAAAAAGCCAATACAGACAGAAACATTCTTTGCATCTTAATAACCGGTGAAAATTTGCTTTTACTACATGAACATTTTAGTCAATGTCTTATTATGTACATTAATGATTTTTATTACTGCACTAGTCTTTCTAGGAAAGGAACAATTTATGCTTTTAAAAGGGGAAACTAAGGCAAAGTGGGAGAGGGATGAACTGCCTCTTTCAGATCATAGTGAAGATAAGAGCATAACCGTGAATTAAAAGATAACTTTCACTATTCCTCCGTGTCTCTAACTTTCTCTCCTTGCATCACCATGCTCAGTGCAGGCAATGTGGGTGGACAGAAGGGACTCGGCAGAGCTTTTTTGGTGCCACTCACCCTTGTTCTTCCCAGCCAGCTTGTTCATCAGGTAGGATTTGCCTGTGCGGTAGAGGCCCACAATAGCCACCACCACGAGAGGATTCTTGGTGGCTGACAGGATCTCCAAAGCTTCCTGATTAACCACCAGTTGCCCTTCAGTGTTCTCAATGAGGCACACTGGGGCCGGCATGCAGATCTCTGATTCCATGTTCACGGTGTTCCCTGGTCTGCAAGGGAAGAGATGGGATGAAATAAAATTGCCAGTCCAAGTAGATCAAGAACTTCACCAGGTTATTTTACGTTCAGAAGTTGGAGTCCTCAGTTTCCTCAACATGGCCAAAAGTTTTGTTTCATCACTAAGATAGATAAGATATGTATCATTTAGAAAGTTACATAAGTATTATCAAAGTAGTCCATTGAAAAAATATTGGTATGACCATATCTTATGAACATTGAGCCACTCTTATGAACAAAATTGTCCATTGAATTCACCATGGAAAACTTTCCTTTTGGATTCTCATTAAAAATTTTAGAGGGGCGCCTGGGTGGCTCAGTCAGTTAAGTGTCTGACTTCAGCTCAGGTCATGATCTCATGATCTCATGATCTGTGGATTTGAGTTCCACATCAGTCTGTGCTGACAGCTCAGAGCCTGGAGCCTGCTTCAGATTCTGTGTCTTCCTCTCTTTCGGCCCCTCTCCCACTCACAATCCATCTCTCTCTGTCTCTAAAAATGAATAAATGTTAAAAAAAATTTTTTAATTTAGAGTAAAGCACGGGTGCTTGTGTGGCTTAGTCTGTTAGGTATCTGACTCTGATTTTGGCTCAGATCATGATCTCACAGTTTGTGGGATTGAGCCCTGAGTTGGGCTGCACTTACAGCACAGATCCTGGTTGGGATTCTCTCTCTACCTCTCTCTTTCTCCCTCTCTCTCTCTGCCTCTCTCCTGATTACATGCACATATGCGCATGTGCACACACTCTCTCAATAAAAAATATTTTAGAAATTTAGAGTAAATATTAAATGGAACATAGAATAGAATTTAGAGAGATTTATTTTACATCCTGGTTATATGGAAAATATTCAATGTTGATTTATTTATTCATTAATTCTTACGATGAATAATGACTTTCATATGTAATTTCATGTATACCCGTGAACAGTTCCCAGAGATTCTAAATGTGTCCCCTCTCCCATAGTTATGCTTGTTGGCTGGAATGAGGGTCCACAGAATTCTCACATTACCATTCCAAAAGTGGAACCAATATAACTTACTTTTGCAAATTTTATAAAATTAACTTACTTTTGCAAATTTTATAAAAACATATGACCATCTGAAACATATGACTAGGGACCCTTCTGAAGCCTTGGTATGGGCTTTTATAAGCTAGGGGCCTTTAAACTTCAACTTTATTATCATCACAGTAAGTTAACCTCCAGCTGCGTGGGGTATGAGTACACTGGAAATACTTAACACGGCTAAAAATCATGTTTCCTTGTGTGTGAGTGAGGGAACAAAAGATATGAAATAAGGATTAAAAGGTCAGGAGGCAGAGGAGCCTGGAAAGATGGCAGAGTAGGAGGATCCTATGCTCACCTTGTCGCACTTAAATAACTGGCACGTCAGTGTAATTAACCCAGAAAATGAACTAAAGACTGGCAGAACACACCGTCCACAGGTAATTGTGGAGAGGAGGCCACACTGAAAACAGTAGCAAAGGCGAAGTCTGGTTGGACACTAAGCCAATCTAGAAGACTAACCACAAGCACGGGCGATACCGCAAGTACAGAGAAGGGAGAGGAGCAGACCCCTCACTGGGCACCCTAGACATGGGGTCTCTGCACATGCAGTGGGGGATAAAAGTCTCTGTTACATTTGGCTCTGAAAACCAGAGGGGCTTAACCTTTTGAGTTTTTACAACCAGTGGGGCTTAACATCTTAAGAAAAATCTTAGAGAGCCTGGAGGGTGATAGAAAACTGAATCCCTACTCCCAAAGAGCCAGCAGAAAAAACAAACCCACTTAGATACAGCATAGAAGCAGTAGTTTGAAAGGAGCCTGGGGTGTATGAGGAGATTTATTTACTAACCTCAGAATGTGTGCAGAAGGGGTAGGGACTTTTAGGAGACTTCTCCAAGAACTAGAGAACTAGTAGATGCCATTTCTCTCTCCTAACCCCAGACTGGTTACACAGACACCTGTGGGAACTACTATGAACACTCATCGTCTAGTTTGCTAACACCATGTATCTTGTTCTCCTGCAGATCCCTCCCCCCCTCCCCCGCCATCCAACACACCCCACTCAAGAGAAGTTCCTCCAAAGTGCTCTGGCCAGGTCTCGTCCTTGAAGCAGCCTCAACAGTGGCCAGCACCACTCCGTGGTGACTGTGAGAGGGGAAGACAACCACACACACCAATTTAACTGCAGCCTCAGTTGTGGGGGAGGGGGCAGACATCCGATCCAACTGCCAGCTCTGCCTACCAACAAAAACCTCACAAGGGGCAGCACAGAGGAAGAGCCTTATAGTTTGGGTTAACTGCAACCCCAAAAGACAGACTAGGGTCAGACATCTGATCTAACTGTAGGCCCTGTCCACCAACAGAAGCCTCTCAGGGAACAATGCACAGAGAACACTACGCAGTTCAGTGTGATCACAGTTTTGGCTAATGCACTGAGGGCAGGCATCTCTTTTGAGCTAACTACAAGCCCAAGGCTGGCCCTGTAAGAGCACAAAGACCAAACCCTGCTCATAATAGGGAAAGAGGGACATATCAGACAATTCACTGAAGGCAAACCTGGCTCAACCACAACGATAAGGCTCACACAACACACATAGGAGACACCCCTGTAGTAGTACCAAGCTCTGGTGAACAGGGGGTGTTGCACTAGAAGACACTCTTAGGACCTCTTCTTCATAATGCCAAGATCAGGAGACATAGCTGACTTTATACAAGTGCAGAGTGTTATACAAAATGAGGAGACAGAGGAATACGTCCCAGAAGAAAGAACAAGACAAAAATCACAGTAAAAGAGCTAACTGAAATGGAGATAAGAAATATGCCTGACAGAGAATTCAAAGTAATGATCATAAAGATACTTACTGGACTTGAGGAAAGGGTGAAGGATCTCAGTGAGACAAACAAATGGAAAGATACTTTGTGCTCACTGATTGGGAGAATGAACATTGTTAAAATGTCCACACTACCCAAGAAATCTACAGAGTTAATGCAATTTCTTTTTTAAAATTTCTTAATGCTTTTTTTATTTTTAGAGAGAGAAGAGAGAGACATAGAGAGAGACAGAGTGAGAGCAGGGGAGGGTGCAGAGAGGGAGGGAGACACAGAATCCGAGGCAGGCTCCAGGCTCCAAGCTGTCAGCACAGAGCCCAATGCGGGGGTTGAAATCATGGACCATGAAATCATGACCCGAGCCGAAATCAATTCACTCAACTGACTGAACCACCTAGGTGCCCCAGTGCAATTTCTATCAAAACACCAATAGCCTTTTTCACAGATCTAGAACAAAGAATCCTAAAATTTGTACGTGACTACAAATAGCCAAAGTAATTTTGAAAAAGAAGAACAAAACTGCAGGTATCACAATCTCAGATTTCAAGATATACCAAACAGCCATCGTAATCAAAACAGTGTTGTACTGGCACAAAAAGAGACACATAGATCAATAGTATAGAATAGAGAATCCAGAAATAAACTCATGTTTTTATAGTCAATTGATCTACAATAAAGGAGGTAAGAATATACAAGAGTAGGGAAAAGACAGTCTCTTCAACAAATGGTGTTAGAAAACTGGACAGCACTATAATGAAATAATGAAATAAATAATGAAACTGGACTATTTTTTTTCTCATTGTACTATTTTATGTATGTACTTATTTATTTAAATGTTTATTGTCCAGTTGGTTTACATTTAAGACTCGGTGCTCATCCCAACTAGTGCCCTCCCTCATGTCCATCACCCCCCTTCCCCTCTCCCCCTCCCCCATCAGCCCTCAGTTTGTTCTCAGCATTCAAGAGTCTCTCATGGTTCACCTCCCTCCCTCTCCCCAAATATTTTTGCCCTTCTTCTCCCTCATGGTCCTCCGTTAGCTCCCTCCTAATCCACCTATATGTGCAAACATATGTTATCTGTCTTTCTCTGCCTGACTTATTTCACTCAGCATAACACCCTCAAGTTTCATCCATGTTGCTACAAATGGCCAGATTTCATTCTTTCTCATTGCCATGTAGTATTCCATTGTATAGGTAAACCACATCTTCCTGATCCATTCATCTGTTGATGGACACTTAGGTTCTTTTCATGTTTGGGCTGTTGTTGAGAGTGCTGCTCTGAACATTGGGGTACATGTGCCCCTATGCATCAGCACCCCTGTGTCCCTTGGGTAAATTCCTAGCAGTGCTATTGCTGGGTCATAGGGGAGTTCTATTGTTAGTTTCCTGAGGAACCTCCGCACTGTTTTCCAGAAAGATTGCACCAGCTTACATTCCCACCAAGAGTGTAGGAGGGTGCCCATTTCTCCACATCCTCACCAGCATCTAGAGTCTCCTGATTTGTTCATTGTAGTCACTCTGACTGGTGTGAGGTGGTATCTCAGTGTGGTTTTGATTTGTATTTCTTTGATGATGAAGGACCTTGAGCATCATTTCATGTGTCTGTTGGCCATCTGGATGTCCTCTTTGGAGAAGTGTCTGTTCATGTCTTCTGCCCATTTCTCCACCGGATTATTTGTTCTTTGGGTGTGGAGTTTGGTGAGTTCCTTATAGATTTTGTATACTAGCCCTTTATCTGATATGTCATTTGTAACTATCTTTTCCCATTCCGTTGGTTGCCTATTAGTTTTATTGATTGTTTCCTTTGTCATGCCGAAGGTTTTTATCTTAACGAGGTCCCAGTAGTTCATTTTTGCTCTTGATTCCCTTGCCTTTGGGGATGTGTCAAGTAAGAAACTGCTGCAGTTGAGGTCTTTTTAAAAAATTTTTAAATTTTTATTTATTTTTGAGAGAGAGGGAGAGACAGAGTGCAAGCAGGGGAGGAACAGAGAGAGAGGGAGACACAGAATCCAAAGCAGGGTCCAGACTCTGAGCTGTCAGCACAGACCCAACACAGGGCTTGAACTCATGAACCATGAGATCATGACCTGAGCCGAAGTTCAATGCTCAACTGACTGAGCCACCCAGGTGCCCCAAATCTGGACCATTTTCTTATCCATACACAAAAATCAACTCAAAATGTATTAAAGACCTAAATATGAGATGTGAAACCACAAAATTCCTAGAAGTAAACACAGGCAATAATTTCTTTGACATCAGCCATAGAAACAGTTTTCTAGATGTGTCTCCTGAGTCAAATGAAACAAAAAAGCAAAGATAAACTATTAGGACTACATTAAAATAGGAAGTTTTGCACAGAAAAGGGAACCATCAACAAAACAAAAAGACAACTTACTGAATTAGAGAAGATATTTGCAAATGATACATTTGATAAAGGGTTAATACCCAAAGCCTATAATTTATACAACTCAATACCAAAAAACCAATAATCCAATTAAAAATGGGAAGAAGACATAAATAGACATTTTTCCAAAGAAGACATACAGATGGCCAATGGACACATGAAAAGATGCTTGACATTACTAATCATCAGAGAAATGCAAATCAAAATCACAATGAGTTATCACCTTATACCTATCAGAATTGCCAAAATAAAAAAAACCTCAAGATAAGATGCTGATGATGTGGAGAAAAGGATTCCTGGGGCACTGTTGGGGGGAATGCAAACTGGTACAGCCACTCTGGAAAACAGTGTGGAAGTTCCTAAAAAAATTAAAAATAGAACTACCACATGATCCAGTAATTATACTACTGGGTATTTACCCAAAGAAAACAAAAACATTAATTTGAAAGTACATATGCACCCCTTTGTTTACTGCAGCATTATTGACAATAGCTAAACTATAGAAGCAATCAAAGCGTCCATCTATAGATGAATAGATAAAGAGGAAATGGTATATACACACAATGGAATATTACTACTCAGCCATAAAAAAGAATGAGATCTTGCTATCTCCAACAACATGGGTGGATATAGAGGGTATAATCCTAACGGAAATAAGTCAGTTAGAGAAACGCAAATACCATATGATTTCATTCATATATGAAATTAATTTAAGAAACAAAAGAAACAAAGCAAAAAAGAGGGGGAAAATGCAAAAACCACCTAGATTCTAAAAAATAGAAAACAAACTGGAAGTTGCTGGAGGAAAGGTGCATCGGGTTTGGGGTGAAACAGATAAGGGAATTAAGAGTGTACTTATTGTGATGAGCACTGAATAATGTATAGAATTGTTGAATCATTATATTGTACACCTGAAACTAAAAAAAAAAATCAGAAAGCAGATCAGGAGAGGTACAGGGAAAGTTGTTGAAAGAAAAGATTTGTATTTTCAGACATACACTTCTATGTTTTCTGTTTTGTTCTGCTTTTCCATTTTGTAGAGAAGGGGAAGCAGGAAGAGGAATATAGGGGTTGTGAAAGGGAAACTGAAACTGGAAAGGAGAGAGAGTGCCACGCCAAGGAATTCAGGCCAGGAATTTCCAGAAGGCAAGATTGGAACTGCTTGAGAGCACAGAGAGGTCAAGGTAAACAAAGATGTTGCCTTTAGTGATGCATCAGTAGATTCTTTAAAACAGAAACTTTCTAGTCAAATGGGCTCCAGATTCTACTTGTAAGAGGTAAGGAGTAAGTTGGCACTAAGTAATTGGATCTACTGAACCTGGACTATTTCTAAAGGAAGAAATACACTTTGAAACAAAGCTCAAGTGATTAAAAACCATAATTTAAAAGTATGATGTTTTCATAAGTCTTTTCTTTTAACTCTGGGTTTCAGATTTTTCTTTCTCTGTTTTTAATAGTATTGGGTGGGGATACCTGGGTGACTCAAGATTCTTATCTTGGCTCAGCTCATGATCTCATGGTTTCGTGAGTCTGAGTCCTGTGTTGGGATCTTCGCTGGCATCTCAGAGCCTACCTGGGATTCTCTCTCTCTCCCTCTCTCTGCCCTTCCCCTGATTATGTGCTCTCTCTCTCTCTAAAAATAAGTAAACATTTAAAAATTCAGTGTCAGGTGGCTGTTCACTGCACCTCATTTCTATTCTTTTCTTTTCTTGAATATAATATATATGCAACCTTTCAGTTTCTTAGCTGCAGTTGGATCTGTACTAAGGAAGTTCTATCAAAGATAATGTGAGTTTAACTGTGTCCCCAGTCAACACAGACAAAGTCAGCAAAAAGAAAGACAATCCTAATGCGTTTCAAACTTCATTTAGCCCCATGCTGCTGGTGTCTAATTTCACACAAGCACAGTAGTAACAGATAGGAACATGCTACCATCTGATGACACTGGTATTTCATTATCTGACCTAGCGTCCCACAGCAGACTCACCTGTAGCCCGTCTTGATGCTTATCACTTTTTTCAAAGTGTGTATTTATTTTTGAGAGAGAGAGCACACAGTGGGGAGGGAAAGAGAGAGGCGGACAGAGAATCTGAAGCAGGCTCTGTGCTGGCAGCAGAGAGCCCGACGTGGGGCTCGAACTCATGGAACTGTGAGATCATGACCTGAGCTGAAGTTGGAGGCTCGGCCAACTGAGCCACCCAGGCAGCCTTATCCTGGCCACTTTTTAAGAAACTGACCTTTATAAATCCCTTCCCATCCCTGCCCCAACCTTGTCATGAGCTCCATTTCCCAGAGTAGAGCTCCTTTAAACCTGAAGAGAAAGCTGCTTTGATGGTAAAGTGGAGACATTACCTTTTTTTTATCTTCTTCAGTTAGGCAGAGCAGTTTCTTACTTCTCCCTCTTGCACTGGAACATGGATCTTTTATTTTACCTGTGTAATGCCATCGGACTTTCCAGATTTCCTTTAAAGACAAGTAGAAGCAAAGCAACCCCAGTAACAGACTTTATAGGAACCCGAAACTGAAAGTACTAGGACACCGTTACTCAACGACCATAAAAGGAAGTTCTGGAGGCTGTCCTAGTGGGAGGCTATGTGGGTTTAACACAATTTCTCAACCAGAAACTTTACATTTCTTTGAAAGAGATTTTATAGAATGTTTACTGATTTTAAAGAATGTCTATCAGATGCGTAAAATAATGAAATGGAGCTCAGAGTTGGGGTTTGGTTTGAGAAACCTAGAATGAAGAAGCATCATGTCAATTTTTAAGTCTCATTTCCTTATGTGATGAACACACAGTGGGCCTGGCTTCTCATTACTATGTACAGCAAGTGAGGAGAAGGGCATATCACACACTCACCAACACCCAGCACCAGGCACTAATACCCAGTGCACAGTCAGGAAGGGGCTCCATGAATTGCACACATGCTCGAGGCTCTAAGCTGACTGTCTTACATGGGTTTCATAACATATCATATACTAAACATTTCCCCAGGATTTTATAGAAACGGGCACAGAAAAGTGGAATGTCTTGACCCAAATCACAGCACTATATATATATATAATCTGAACTGAATCATTCTTGATCCCAAACATTCTTGTTAAGCTACTTCACTATACTGCCTGTCTAGGTTTTCTGAGTGAACAGGAGTAGAAGTAACAGATTTATTTCTTGGTTGTTGACTAAGAACTATGTGTGTTACATGTCTAATTCATTTCTGATTACAATACTGCAAAATAAGTGACACTGTCTTCATCTTACAGTGAAAACAAGGAGGCTTGAGGGAAGGTAAGTAATATGCTATCCATATTCACTGAGCAAGTCACAGGGGTGGGAATCAAATTTTAAGCTCTTTTTACCTTTTTTATTTTAAGAGAGTGAAACCTGGGAGAGGGGCGGAGGGAGAGAGAAAGAGACAAAGAAAATCCTAAGGAGGCTCCATGCTTAGCATGGAGGCTAACATGGGGCTTGATCCCACAGTCTGGGATCATGACCTGAGCTGAAATCAAGAGTTGTGTGCTCAACTGACTGAGCTACTTGGTGCCCCTAAACTCATTTTGCCTTTAAATTCTCTGCTTTTTCTTCTCCTCCGCATTGCTTCTAAAAGGAAGGAATAGGGAAATGAGGAGAAAGGGAGAGATTTACCAAGTTCTCTGCTGATCCCAGATCTCTTTACCTGGAAGCCAGCGTGAGAAATTTAACAAATAGAATTTATTCTCTTTTCTTTTTCCTTTCTGCATTATCTTTCTAAATGTCTCTGAGTAAATAGCACTTCAGTTTGCTTTGAAAATATGAGTTAGCTGAGTCTTTCTGTTGCTAGTACACACCCAGTTCCTTCCTGCCTTCATCTTCAAGACACAACAACTTTACAGACATGAAACTTTCTTACCTTTGATCTTGGGAGGATCCCCTTTTATTCTATTGGTCTCCTGCGAACCCTTTGCCAATTTCCTTCACATCACCTTGACTTTTTCCCCTTGTGACTACCTGAAATTCAAGCTCATAAAAGCAGTTAACTAATGTATTCACAGCACTTAACAATAGGGCTTGCCATAGAGTAGAGGTTCAACGGATATTATGTGATTAAATATAAGACGACCCCAGCCATGAGATAAACTCCACACTTTTGCCAATTTGAATATATAAACTTAAAAACTTTTTATAAGTTTATTTGTTTTGAGAGAGAGTGCAAGTAGGGTAGAGGCAGAGAGAGAAAAAGAAGAGAGAGAATCTCAAGCAGGCTCTGAGCTGTCAGTGCAGGCAGAGTCTGAAGCCATGGGGTTGGAACCCACGAACTGTAGGAGATCGTGACCTGAGACAAAACCAGGAGTCAGATGCTTAACTGACTGAGCCATTCAGGTGTCCCAAATCAGTAGTTAATGTCTTTTATCCATATTTCTATCTACTTTATTGTGAAATGATGGAAGTTTGCAGTAAGACTTGTGGCATCCTTTGGTGCCATTCTTTAAGCTTTTAGGGTGAGAGATTGGAGTCATTCTGTTGGGACTACTTAGGCCTGTATTTGTTCCTGACCTAATAAACAATATTCAAATTTTAAAAGTTGTTCAAACTATTGAGATCCTAGCTAGTCTATTCCAGATTTAAACGTTTGTATATATTGTTCAGTTAGTGAAAAGTTTACACCAGTACAGATGACATGTCGTTTCTGGATTGGAAAAAGAAGAATCTTCAAAATTTGTTGAAGACTCCACAGAGCATAAAAAACCTTGAATTTACCTGAATTCAATATAAATCAAATATAAAGGTATTTACTAATGTCTTGAAGAACTTGACCATTATTTTGAAGGGATTGTTGCAATTATTACATTAAAAATTTTAATTTAATTTATTTATTTAGAAATGTTTATTTATTCTGAGAGACAGAGAGAGAGAGCAGGGGAAGGACAGAGAGAGAAGAAAGAAAGAATTCCAAGCAGCCACCACACTGGGAGCTCAGATCCTAGTGCGGGACTTGAACTCCCGAAACATGAGATCATGAGCTGAGCCAAAATCAAGAGTTAGATGCTTAACCAACTGAGCCACATGGGCACCTCTATTTTATTTTATTTTTTATTTTATTCATTTTATTTTATTTTATTATTTTATTTTGTTTTATTTTACTTTATTTTATTTTATTTTATTTTGTTTTATTATTTTATTATATTTTATTGTAAAGCCTTTATTATGTTTTTAATGTTTTATTTATTTCTGAGAGAGAGGCAGCATGAACAGGGGAGGGTCAGAGAGAGAGGGAGACACAGAATTTGAACCAGGCCCCAGGCTCTGAGCTCGCTGTCAGAGCAGAGCCTGACGCGGGGCTCGAACCCATGAGTGGTGAGATCATGACCTGAGCCAAAGTTGGACACTTAACCGACAGAGCCACCCAGGTGCCCCCCAATTTTTTTTTATTTTAGAGAGAGAGAGAGCATGAGAAGGGGACAGGGGCAGAGGGAGAGAGAGAATCCAAAGCAGGTTTCATGTTCAAGCATGGAGCCTGATGTGGGGCTTGCCCATGACCCTGGATCATGACCTGAGCTGAAGTCAAGAGTCAGGCATTCAACTGACTGAGCCAACCAGGAGCACTGCAATTATTACATGTTAAAAAAAAATTTTTTAACGTTTTTCATTTTTGAGAGACAGAGAGAGATAGAGTACAAGCAGAGGAGGGGCATAGAGAAAAAGGGACACACAGAATCTGAAGCGGGCTCCAGGCTCTGAGCTGTCAGCCCAGAGCCTGACATAAGGCTCAAACTCACGGACCACAAGATCATACATGACCTGAGTCGAAGTCAGATGCCTAAGCAACTGAGCCACCCAGTTACCCTGGTAATTATTACATTTTAAAATGAGGTTTGCTCTACTAGACATCATGATGAAAAATGATGTTTTTCCAGTAATGAAAATGTCATGGGAATCATCAAACTATTTTCTGGACTTAATCCATTTTTGCATGACTACTTGGAAAAATGCTAAAATTAAAAACAACAACAATAACAACAAGTGTAACATCTGTGTCCCAAACAGATTATGATGAATTAGTCAAAATAAAAGGAAAACATATATAAAGTCAAGTGTTAAGTAGAGGCCAAATGTTACTCCATTACTGTACATTTTCCATGATTTCAACAAATACTGATCAATTGGCAATATTGTGTATATAAGTTATTATAGAAAACCATGAGAAATTTGTGGATTTTTTCCAATTGCAGTAACTTATCTGTGACTTAAAAATTTTTTTTAATGTTTGTTTATTTTTGACACAGAGAGATTGAGAGAGAGAGAGAGAGAGAGAGCGGGAGGTGGGGAGGAGCAGAGAGAGGGACACAGAATCTGAAGCAGGCTCCAGGCTCTGAGCTGTCAGCACAGAGCCCAATGCAGGGCTCAAACTCACAAGCCGTAAGATCATGACCTTAACTGAAGTTGGACCCTTAGCTGACTGAGCCACTCAGGCACCCCTTCTTATCTGTGACTTTATTCAACAATGTGAAATATGCTCTGGGTGATTGTAACTTGCCATTGGACAGTATTTGTGGGCATTACTATGAGTTTGTCATATGTCAATGCAGTCATAAAAATGGCAGACAAAGGGCTGCTTGCACTATTTTTCTTAAAAAAGATTATTTTTAAGTAATTTCTTCACCCAATTTGGGGCTCAAACTTACGACCCTGAGATCAAAAGTCGCATGCTTTGCTCCCTGAGCCAGCCGGGCACCTTAGGGCTGTGTGCACTCTTTATAAACATTAATAAGTAACTAGAATGTGCTGTCCCCACAGGGGCTCATTATCTTTTTCATCAGCTGATATGCTGACCTGCTAGTACCCGAAGCTATGAAACCCTTAAGGATCTTTCCAGTTTTATTTTCTCTTTGGGTTAGTCTGCTTTTTGTAGAAGGAGTAGCACACAGTTCAGCTTTTCTGAATCGCTAAATCAGGATGCCTGCTTTTGGCTATGACAAGGAAAATCTAGAATGGATGGTGGAGAAGGGAGATGATGAACATCAGTTATGGCCTGTGACAAGTTGTAGGAGTTAAAGTCTGTGGCATCTACCAAGTCATGTGCATTAAATCCTTTATAGAATGGTAGCTAGTCACCAACTTGAAGATACGATGATGGATTGCATTTAATATAGGGTATAGTGATCAGAATGTTGCAAGCGGTGGACCATTTTAGATGCTTCTAGTGCGCTGACTCCAATCCTCTCAATCTCACTTCTAATTCCAGCTCTGGCTATAGTGGACAGTTCAGAGAATGCCTGGACTCCTCTCAGGCTGTTAGCATCTTGCTTTAGTAACGTAAAAGCCAGCTTTTCACAAGAGATAACAGGGGCTATAGGATTGGGGGTTCCCTTCTATAACTTGTCTCTCCTGGCCTCTCTGAAACACACTGGCCATGCTCCTTCCCTAAGGCCTTTGCACTTGCTGTTTCCCCTGCAACTTATGCTGTTTCTGCAGATATCCAGTGACCTGCTCCCTTACGGCTTTAGATCTGCACTGAAATGTGACTTCATC